AGTGAAATGCATTCTACAAAGCTAATTGAATCAAATTAAAGTCAAACACATTCAAACAAACCTATTTGAATCAAATGAAAGTCAAAAACATTCTACAAAGCTAATTGAATTAAATGAAAATCAAACACATTCAAATAAAGCTATTTTAATCAAATGAGAGTCAAATACATTCATACAAAGCTAATTAAATCAAATAAAAGTTAAATACATTCTACAAAGCTAATTGAATCAAATGAAAGTCAAAAACATTGAAACAAAGCTATTTGAATTAAATGAAAGTCAAATACATTCTACAAAGCTAATTGAATCAAATGAAAGTAAAAAACATTCAAACAAAGCTATTTGAATCAAACGAAAGTCAAATACATTCTACAAAGCTAATTGAATAATATGAAAGTCAAACACATTCAAACAAAGCAATTTAAATCAAATGAAAGTGAAATACATGTTACAAAGCTAATTGAATCACATAAAAGTCAAACACATTCAAACAAAGCTATTTGAATCAAATGAAAGTCAAATACATTCTACAAAGCTAATTGAATCAAATGAAAGTCAAACACATTCAAACAAAGCTATTTGAATCAAATGAAAGTCAAAACGTTCAAACAAAGCTATTTAAATCAAATGAATGTGAAATGCATTCTACAAAGCTAATTGAATCAAATAAAAGTCAAACACATTAAAATAAAGCTATTTGAATCAAATGAAAGTCAAACACATTCAAACAAAGCAATTTAAATCAAATGAAAGTCAAACACATTCAAATAAAGCTATTTGATCAAATGAAAGTCAAACACATTCAAACAAAGCAATTTAAATCAAATGAAAGTGAAATGCATTCTACAAAGCTAATTAAATCACATAAAAGTCAAACTCATTCCAACAAAGCTATTTGAATCAAATGAAAGTCAAATACTTTCTACAAAGCTAAATGAATCAGATGAAAGTCAAACACATTCAAACAACCCTATTTGAATCAAATGCAAGTCAAATACATTCTACAAAGCTAATTGAATCAAATGAAAGTCAAACACATTCAAACAAAGCTATTTGAATTAAATGAAAGTCAAACACATTCAAACAAAGTTATTTAAATTAAATGAAAGTTAAATGCATTCTATAAAGTTAATTTAATCAAATGAAGTAAAAAACATTCAAACAATGTTATTTGAATCAAATGAGAGTCAAACACATTCAAACAAAGCTAATTAAATCAAATAAAAGTCAAATACATTCTATAAAGCTTATTGAATCAAATGAAAGTTAAACACATTAAAACAAAGCTATTTGAATCAAATGAAAGTCAAACACATTCAAACAAAGCTATTTGAATCAATTGAGAGTTAAACACATTCAAACAAAGCTATTCGAATCGAATGAAAGTCAAATACATTCTACAAAGCTATTGAATCAAACGAAAGTCAAACACATTCAAACAAAGTTATTTCAATCAAATGAAAGTCAAATACATTCTATAAAGCTGATTGAATCAAATCAAAGTCAAACACATTCAAACAAAGCTATTTGAATCAAATGAAAGTCAAATACATTCTACGAAGCAAATTGAATCAAATGAAAGTCAAACACAATCAAACAAAGCTATTTGAATCAAATGAAAGTCAAATACATTCTAAAAAGCTAATTGAATCAAATGATAGTCAAACACATTTAAACAAAGCTATTCGAACCAAATGTAAGTCTAATACATTCTACAAAGCTAATTGAATCAAATGAAAGTCAAACACATTCAAACAAAGTTATTTGAATCAAAATACGAATCAAATGAAAGTCAAACACATTCAAACAAAGCTATTTGAATCAAATGAAATTCAAACACGTTCAAATATATCTATTTAAATCATATGAAAGTGAAATGCATTCTACAAAGCTAATTGAATCAAATTAAAGTCAAACACATTCAAACAAACCTATTTGAATCAAATGAAAGTCAAAAACATTCTACAAAGCTAATTGAATTAAATGAAAATCAAACACATTCAAATAAAGCTATTTTAATCAAATGAGAGTCAAATACATTCATACAAAGCTAATTAAATCAAATAAAAGTTAAATACATTCTACAAAGCTAATTGAATCAAATGAAAGTCAAAAACATTGAAACAAAGCTATTTGAATTAAATGAAAGTCAAATACATTCTACAAAGCTAATTGAATCAAATGAAAGTAAAAAACATTCAAACAAAGCTATTTGAATCAAACGAAAGTCAAATACATTCTACAAAGCTAATTGAATAATATGAAAGTCAAACACATTCAAACAAAGCAATTTAAATCAAATGAAAGTGAAATACATGTTACAAAGCTAATTGAATCACATAAAAGTCAAACACATTCAAACAAAGCTATTTGAATCAAATGAAAGTCAAATACATTCTACAAAGCTAATTGAATCAAATGAAAGTCAAACACATTCAAACAAAGCTATTTGAATCAAATGAAAGTCAAAACGTTCAAACAAAGCTATTTAAATCAAATGAATGTGAAATGCATTCTACAAAGCTAATTGAATCAAATAAAAGTCAAACACATTAAAATAAAGCTATTTGAATCAAATGAAAGTCAAACACATTCAAACAAAGCAATTTAAATCAAATGAAAGTCAAACACATTCAAATAAAGCTATTTGATCAAATGAAAGTCAAAACACATTCAAACAAAGCAATTTAAATCAAATGAAAGTGAAATGCATTCTACAAAGCTAATTAAATCACATAAAAGTCAAACTCATTCCAACAAAGCTATTTGAATCAAATGAAAGTCAAATACTTTCTACAAAGCTAAATGAATCAGATGAAAGTCAAACGCATTCAAACAAAGCTATTTGAATCAAATGAAAGTCAAACACGTTCAAACAAAGCTAATTGAATCAAATGAAAGTCAAACGCATTCAAACAAAGCTATTTGAATCAAATGAAAGTCAAACACGTTCAAACAAAGCTATTTAAATGAAATGAAAGTGAAATGCATTCTACAAATCTATTTATATCAAATGAAAGTCAAACACTTTCAAACAAATTTATTTGCATCAAATTAAAGTCAAATTTATTCTACGAAGCTAATTAAATCAAATGAAAGTCAAACACATTCAAACAAAGCTATTTGAATAAAATTAAAGTCAAATACATTCTACGAAGCTAATTGTATCAAATGAAAGTCAAAGACATTCAAATAAAGTTATTTGAATCAAAAAGAAAGTCAAACAAATTCAAACAAAGCAATTTAAATCAAAAGAAAGTGAAATGCATTCTACAAAGCTAATTGAATCACATGAAAGTCGAACACATTCAAACAAAGCTATTTGAATCAAATGAAAGTGAAATATATTCTACAGAGCTAATTGAATCAGATGAAAGTCAAACACATTCAAACAAAGCTATTTGAATCAAACAAAAGTCAAATACATTCTAAACACATTAGAATCAAATAAAAATCAAAAACCCTAGAGAGAGAAAGCTTCATTTTTCCATGTCTATGGTGCTTGATTTAGCTGGTTTTTAGTCCCTAAATCTATTTCTATGGCTAGAAAGAAGAAGCAAGCTACTCCTGCCCATCTAAGCTCACAACTGAAATTGAGTCACTATTTGTTCCTGTTTCAGCTGGAATTCAGACTGTTCATGAGGTGTTTGATGAGGGAGATGAACTTGTCACACCTGCTCCTGGCCTTGTCCACCCCTCTGCAGGAATGATTTCTAGGAGAGATGCTGAATTGCTGGCTTTAAGTTTTGATTCGGTCTGCCCCAAAACCAATGTAACAGTAACTTCTCCGGTTACTGTTCCATTGCCTAATCAAGCTGCTAGCCCTTCTAGGCCTTCTGTGGGTTCTGTATTGCAAAATTCTCAACCTCCTGTCACTAATGAAGCTATGCCTAAGGTTTTTGATCAAGATTTGTCTAATGTTCGAGGGTTTACTGGAAAGCTGACTGCAAAAGGGTTTGCCCTGAATTTTGTACCTCCGCAAATTAAAAATGGTAAGTCAATTGTTGTTTTACCGAGTGCTGAAATTGAGGAAGGAAATAGGAAGTGGAGTCATGCAATTGTTCTATATGTTGTTGGGTATTATCCTACTATTGCAGCTATTAAGCGTTTTATTGTTAATGAATGGGGTATTGATAATAATCCTGATGTGTATTGGCATGATGAGGAGTATTTTATAATTAATCTGCGTTCCCTAGATAATCTGAATTCTGTTATGTGTGAAAGCCCTCACATGTTTTATGGGAAACCAGTTATTGTTAAACCCTGGTCTGAAAAATTTGATTTCAGTGCTGAAATTCTTCGCACTGTTCCATTGTGGGTCAAATTGCCCAATCTTCCTCTCAATTGTTGTGGTGCTGAAACTTTGAGTCGAATTGGCAGCACCTTGGGTTTGCCAATTTGTGCTGATGAATGCGCTTCAAGATAGCTAAGAGTGTCGTTTGCTAGATTACTTGTGGAAATAGACATTACAAAACCTCTAGCAAAGTCTGTCTGGGTTGAAAGTCCTAAAGGTGAGACAGTGGAATTAAAGGTGATTTATGAGTAGACTCCTCCCTTCTGTGTTAAATGTAATAAGGCAGGACATAATTGTGATGAGCCTCTTTCAAATAATCAGCCTGATCCTGTAGTCCAAGTTCAGAAGAAGTTTGGGTTCAAAAACAGAAGCAAGGGTCTGGAACTAAAGTTTCAGGTGAATGGGAAATCATGAAAAAGAAAGGTAAAGAACCTGCTGTAGCTGTGAAGCCTGTTCTTACAACTAATAAATTTGATATTTTACCTGATGAGCAATATGATGATGTTGTCTTGAGATATAAGCCTAGCGGGGTGGGCCCCCTCCAGTTCAATGATTATCAATGTTTGGAATATTAGGGGTCTTAATGATCCCTCTAAAGTGGTTGATGTTAGGCAGCTGCTTGATAGGACTAATGCTGATATAATCTGCTTGCTTGAGACTTGAGTTAAATAGTTGAAATGTGTTGGGATTCAGAGGAAGATTGCACATGGTTTGTCCTGGATGTAATTATTCTGAGTCTAGGAAAGGTAGAATTTGGTTGGGGTGGAAGAATGATAGAGTGCATGTTGATGCTATTACTGTTCATGCTCAGTTCATTCATTGTATTATCAGTACTCTTGATTATAGTACTCAGATCACTGTGTCTTTTTTTTATGGTTTACATAATATTCATGATCGGAAAGATCTTTGGAGAGGTATTGGAGCTATTGGTTCTGTGTCCATGCCCTGCTTTGCACTGGGGATTTTAATTCTGTTTTGTTACCTGAAGATAGAGTTCATGGAAATGTAGTAACAGATTATGAAGTTCGAGATTTCAAGGATTTTATTGATCAAATGAATTTTTCTGAGATCAAAAGTAAAGGGTCTTATTTCTTATGTCTAATAAGGCTCACTCAGGCCCTAGAACTCAAACCAGAATTGATAGGGGTTTGGTTAATAGTGAATGGCTCTTTCAATTTCCAAATGTGGAAGCTGTTTATCTTCCTCCCTCCCTTTCTGATCATGCTCCTCTATTGTATGAGGTTCTCCCTCCTGCTCCTTGTAAGGGAAAGCCCTTTAGATTTCTTAATCATATGCTTACTCACCCTGATTTCATGAATATAGTGGATGAAAATTTGGAGTGAAGGTTTTCAGGGTAATGCTATGAATAGAATTTGGAGAAAATGCAAGAATCTGAAGGTTAAGCTTAAAGAGCTTAATACCAAAGCTTATGGTAATGTTGAAATGAGAGTTGATTTAGCTCAACAGGCTGTTTTGGAAGTCCAGAACCAAATGGCTAATGATCCTCATTCTGACTTGCTGGTTCAGGAGGCTACTGCTATTCAACAACTCAAATATTGGAGATTTGTTCAGGAGAGCATTTATAGACAGAAAGCTAGGGTGGAATGGGTTAAACTTGGTGACTCCAACACTAAGTAATTTTTCTCCATGATGAAACAGAGGCAAGCTAGGAACAGAATTGATTCTCTTTTATAATGAACACCATGTGCTCCTTAAAACTCCTGCTGATATTGAGGCAGAGATTGTGTCTTTTTATAAACTTCTCCTGGGTTCGAGCTCTTCTGTCCTTGATGCTATTGATCTTAATACCATGAGAGCTGGGAAACAGCTTTCTGCAGAAGCTCAGAATTTGCTTATTAGTCCTGTGGTTAACTCTGAGATTGACTGTGCAATCAAAAGCATCTCTGATGATAAAGCCCCTGGTATTGATGGGTTCAACTCTAAATTTTTCAAGCATACCTGGACATTATTAAACTTGAGATCTATGAAGCTGTCCATGATTTTTTTGATATAGGAACTTTGCATCCTCAGTGGAATTGTACAACTCTGACCTTGGTTCCTAAAATCCAGAATCCTTCTTTTGTAAAGGATTTCAGACCTATAGCTTGATGCACTGTTCTTTATAAGATTATCTCCAAGATCTTGACTGCCAGGCTTGCTCAAGTTGTTGGAGATATTGTTGATGAAGCTCAAGCAGGTTTCATTCCTGGTAAACATATTGGAGACAACATCTTATTAGCTACAGAGCTAATCAAAGGTATACTCATAAGCACATTACCCCTAGATGTATGATTAAGGTTGATCTGAAAAAAGCTTATGACTCCATTGAATGGAGTTTTCTAAAGGCTGTAATGTTTGAGCTTGGTTTTCCTTCTGTGTTTGTTAATTGGATTATGGTGTGCATTTCTACAGTGTCATTTTCTATTTGATAAATGGCTCTCCTTCTGTTCCTTTTAAAGCTCAGAAGGGTCTGAGACAAGTGACCCCATGTCTCCTTTCCTCTTTGCTATAGGAATGGAGTATTTA